ATATAATAGGATACTACAACCCTTTTATATGAGCAGCTTAGTTGTAAGATAAAATTTAGAGGAAGATATCCAGGCCTCTTTGGGTATGGTGAAAGAAAGGTCTTCATATGAAGCAAAACTGTATAAATCATTAAAGTAGGCCAGTGCCGCGGCTCACTAGGCTAATCCTCCGCCTTGTGGCGCCGGCACACTGGGTTCTAGTCCCGGTTGGGGCACCGGATTCTGTCCCGGTTGCCCCTCTTCCAGGCCAGCTCTCTGCTGTGGCCAGGGAGTGCAGTGGAGGATGGCCCAAGTGCTTGGGCCCTGCACCCCATGGGAGACCAGGGGAAGTACCTGGCTCCTGCCATCGGATCAGCGCGGTGCGCCGGCCACAGCGCACCGGCCACGGCGGCCATTGGAGGGTGAACCAATGGCAAAAGGAAGACCTTTCTCTCTGTCTCTCTCTCTCACTGTCCACTCTGCCTGTCAAAAATAAATAAATAAATAAATAAATAAATCATTAAGTACATGGAGAAAATGTGGCAGTTTCATGTCTTTCAAAACCAACTAGGACAAATTATTTTTTGTCTTGTGTAATTTTGGCCAGAACAAGGGTTGGGATGGGTTCCTAGTCTTGTGCCCATGCACCAGAACTCAACCCCGGAAGAGAGTGCTTGGTTCCAGTAGAGGGGGGCATGTGCTCCAGCCTCCCGTGCCTAGGAGCTGAGTCTGTTACGCCCGGGCGCAGCTGCCCCAGCCCCTGCTGGGCCCGGTGTCATCTTGGGAGCAAGAAGGAAGGTCCAGTCACACACGGTGTACTGGCTCAGGGATAGACGAGGGAGGTGTTTCCAGCCCTCTCGGCTAATGCCTGCAGCACTCCCTTGGAACACATACTACGAGATGCATTTTTATTGAGACTGGAAACCAGTGAAAGCTTTGAAAGGTTTCAAGGTGGAACCAGTTCCAGCCTTAGGCTGTGCATTCGTTATGTCAGGTTCTTCCCATCCTTTCTCACTCATGCTGGGAATAGACTCTTCACCATGTGGTATAAAAGTGGCATTTGTTTGAATTTGCTCTCGTCCTCAGATTGTGGCTGCTGGGTATCTCTGTTTTCATTTCTTGATATAAATCCTTGATATCTTTGGACTTTGTTTACATTGACTTGATTTAGGTGTGTTCAGATGCTTGCCGCTGTTTTGAATTTAGAACCACCCAGAGGCCAGGGGTTCCTGCCTACTGAAGACACTCTCAGAGTTTACTGGGGTTGGGTGGACTTAGCATGCACCCAGCTCACCTTGCCACTGCCTGCTGTTGACGGTGGGGCTTGCCCAGGAGGGAGCCGTATCCCCCAGACTTGAGGAGCAGCAGTTCCTTCCCTTCCCTGTAGGTGTAACTGCATTGGTTCCCCTGCATTCCCGCTGCTTAGTCAATGCTCCTTTGGTTGCCCTATCACACTAGAAGAAACGCTGTCCCTGGCTGGCTGCTCCCACATGCCCCCAACCATGTTGGACGGCTCTCGGGGACTATGCCTTTGTCTAGTATAGTGCTTCTCTACCCCTGGCTCTGGCAAATGCTCCCTCTTCTGAGATGGGACCTGAGATACTTCATCCCATGCACAGGCCAGCAGTGCCAGCGCTGCTGGTGAGCACACCCCCTTAGAGCAGCATGCTCTGGGGTGCCTTACCCTGCACCATGGGCTGACTGTGTGGGAGCCGAGTTACAGTGAACCAAACATCTGGTTCTCCAGGGACAAATTGCCGGGGTTGGCATGTCCACTCCAAAACTCATGTAGAAACTTGACTACCATTTTCAGGATATTAAGAGGTGGGCCTTGAAGAGGTGATGGGACCATGAGGACTCTGGCCTCTCGAATGGATGGATGCCATTAGCACAAGAGAGGATTAGTTACTGCAGGAGCAGGTTCCTGAGCTCAGCCCCTGCCCTTCCACCATGCTGCGATGCAGCGTGGAGGCCCTTACCAGAGGCCGGCACAGTGCTCTTGGAATTCACAGCCTCCAGACCCATGCATCAAATAATTCTTTGTTCTTTATAAAATGCCAGGTCTCAGGTGTTCAGCAATAGCAGCAGAAAATGAACCAAGATGCAAATCAACAGTGGCAGTTATAGCAGGAACCTGGGATGGAGTGGCTCTCCCCAGCAGGTGCCTCTAATTAGGTTGGTGATTAGGCAGCCATTAATTGGAATGGATTTCAACTGTCACAGCAGAGAAGCAGAAAGCCAGCTGGCTGGGAGGGAGGCCTGGTGAATGGTACTTCTCTGGTGGAGGTCGGGATTTGAGGGGGATTGAGGGGGGAGGCTGAGGCCCAGGCAGCCCCAGCTGCTTTGGGAGGGAGTTGGGACTGGCCATGTCACTCAGCACAGCTGAGCTGCAGCAACACTTAGCCCACACCACAGGACCCCAAATAGCACAGGGGCAGTGCCTGAAGGTGGATCAAGGAGAGGTGAGAGAGTTAGGAGCTGTGTTTCCCCACGCCCACACACTCCTACAAAGAATAATTGGCCACATTAGCCAGAGTGGAGAGTCTGCCTGGACCAGAATAGAAACAAACAGAAGGGCCACATGTTAGAAATGGGGCTGGCGGCCGGCGCCATGGCTCAATAGGCTAATCCTCTGCCTAGCGGCACGGGCACACCGGGTTCTAGTCCCTGCCGGGGCACCGGATTCTGTCCCGGTTGCCCCTCTTCCAGGCCAGCTCTCTGCTGTGGCCAGGGAGTGCAGTGGAGGACGGCCCAAGTGCTTGGGCCCTGCACCCCATGGGAGACCAAGAGAAGCACCTGGCTCCTGCCATTGGATCCGTGCGATGCGCCAGCCACAGCGCGCTGTCTGCGGTGGCGATTGGAGGGTGAAAACGGCAAAAAGGAAGACCTTTCTCTCTGTCTCTCTCTCTCTCTCTCACCGTCCACTCTGCCTGTCAAAAAGGAAAAAGGAAAAAAAAAAAGAAAAAGAAATGGGGCTGGCACTGTGGTGTAGCAGGTAAAGCTGCTGCCTGCAGCACCAGCATTTCATATGGATGCCGGTTCAAGTCCCAGCTGCTCCACTTCCAATCCAGCTCTCTCCTTTGGCCTGGGAATGCAGTAGAAGATGGCCCAAGTCCTTGGGCCCCTGCACCCACATGGGAGACCCAGAAGAAGCTCTTGGCTCCTGGCTTTGGATCGGCTCAGCTTCTGCCATTGCGGCCAGTTGGGGAGTGAACCAGCAGATGGAAGACCTCTCTCTCTGCCTCTCCTTCTCTGTGTGGCTCTGACTTTCAAATAAATAAATAAATCTTAAAAAAAAAAAAAAAGAAATGGAGCAATATTATCCATAGAACAAAGGCAAATCTGGATTTGCCCTAGCACAGCTTCTTAAAAAAATTTCAATAAGAACTCAAAGTGCAGGTGCGCTGTAGGTACAGTACAGATGCTTCTTGGGTTGCCTGCATCAGCCCCATTTCCTACTAATGTGCGCCCTAGGAGGCAGCAGGTACTCAAGTACTTGCATCCCCGCCACCCTTGTGGGGACCTCAGACTGAGTTCTGGGCCTTTCAGAAAGAAAGAGGAAAAAAGAAAGAAGGGAGGAAAGATAGATAGATGAACTGAAAATAACATAACATTATACCAGAACAATGCTCTACACTTAAGAAAAAACAGATATTTAAGCACAAAGCCAGACGTTAAAATTAAAGTTGCCAAATTTTACAGCAACTAATGTAATTAACACACATTGTTTGAAAACATTCCAATATAATCTTCCTACAATCTCCAATTTTATTTCGAGCTGGACATGAAATAGCACTCCTCTGTAAAGTGCATTTGATTGGCATCACAGTCTCATTAGCCCACCTGCAATCATGAACCAAGACATCATTTTTCATGTACAGTAATGTTAACCCTGTGGAAACGACTACCAAAGATAAGTGGACTATTTGGCAGATAATTTTAAGATTAGACTGGAGCACCCACATAATGTATAAGAAAAAAGCAACGGTAAAAATCTCTTAGGAGGAACATTTCATGTCAGAGGAGGAAGGTTGGGATTAGAGAACATTCCACCAGGCTGGGGAATTTTTTTCTGCCGAGGGCCATCATTCACAGATCATTCAAAATTATCCATTTAAAAATTAGCTGCTGTAGATTATGGGACACAGACAGCTGCTTAACCTGCTGTGCCACAATGCAGCCCCTTGCATGGTTTCTACACCATGCATTTTGAGTCTCGGCTGCTCCACTTCCAATCCAGCTCTCTGCTATGGTCTTGGGAAAGCAGCAGAAGATGGCCCAAGTGCTTGGGCCCCTGCACCCACGTGGGAGATGCAGAAGCAGTTCCTGGCTCCTGGTTTTGGATCAGCACAGCTCCGGCCGTTGCAGCCATTTGGGGAGGGAACAATCGGATGGAAGACCTCTCTGTCTCTCTGCCTCTGCTTCTCTGTAACTCTGCCTTTCAAATAAATAAATAAATCTTTTTAAAAAATAAATAAATAAATGGAGGGGAAGGGAAAAGTGGAAAATGAGAGGGGTCAGAGCAGGGAGATGGGTACATGGACCTTCATTACTTCTATTCTTTCTAATTTTGCATATGCTTGAGATCTTTAATAAAGGACTTTCTAAAAACAAAAACAAAAATTATCCCTTTAGAAAAAGTGAATGTTCAGTCTTCCTCATTGCTTTGTGACTGCCCAAGTCTCTCCATCCATCTTTTCTCTTTATATAATTTGAAGTTATTTTTATCAGTTGCATACCTGCTTAGAACTGAACTCATCCTCATGGAGAGCTGGACCTTCTTAGCATCAGTTGTGACACTGTCACTAATGATGCTTGTAAATTGAATTCAGTCTCTCTGGCCTTAGGCTTATTAGATTTACCTTTTTTCAGCTTTTAAGATTTTATTTCATAGTTCTTAAAATTTGTGTGTTTCTTTAAAATAACACAGTTGGACTGGATTTTTTTAAAAAATTATGTATTTATTTATTTGAAAGATTCGAGAAAAGAGAGAGCCAGAGAGAGAAAGTGAGTGATAGATAGATCTTGCACCTGCTGTTCACTCCCCAGATGTCTGCAATGGCTGGGACCATAGGCCAGGTCAAAGTCAGGAGCCAAGACCAGGAGCTTCTTCCAGGTCTCCCACGTGGGTGCAGGGGCCCAGACACTTGTGCTTTTCCCAGACTGTTAGCAGGGAGTTGGATAGGAAGTGGAGCAGCTGGCACCCCAACTAGTGCCCATGTGGGATGCCAGCATCAAAGGTGGCAGCTTCCCCCACCACGCCACAATGCCGGCCCTGGACTGGAGTTTTACAGACTGACGTGTCAGTCACTGATCAGCATGTCGAGTCTTACATTTATCATAGTTATTTATGTACTTGCACGGATTGCTGTCATCCTAATAAGTTTCATCTGTCGCCTCACTTTAATCATTTGAGTTGCTATCTATATATTTTTCTTACCAAGATAAGATCTATCCATTAATTTCTTTTCCTTGTCTTCTTATTACTTTTGCAGTTTCTTTGGTTGGTTGATTTCCTAAAGTTTTTGAGTTGGATGCTCAGCACATTGCTGTTTTCAGCTTTTACTCTTTTCTAGTATAAGTATAGAGACATAGATTTAAAAATTGTAATTTTTAGGTACAGTTAACCTTCTTTAACCAGGGGTTCTGGACCCATGGATTCAAACCAACTGTGGATTCAAAGTACTTGAAAAAAACATCTGAACCTGTACAGGCTTTTGTTCCTTGTCATTATTCCTTAACCAGTACAGTATAACAACTATTACATAGCATTTACACTGTAGTAGGTTTACATGTAACCCACACATACTCTCTTTTAAAGTCATTTCCAGGTTACGCATAATACCTAATACAAGGAGGACCCATAGATGTTGGTATCCACAAGGGGGTCCTAAAAGCATTCATGCATGGATTCTGGTGGGACAAGTGTAATTATTCTGAATTTTATCCATGTTGATCCCTGTATCAAAAGTTCATTCTTTATTGTTGAGCGGTATCCCATTGTATAGATATATGACAATTTGCTTATCCATTTGAATTATTGCTAACTTGAGGTTATTACAAATAAAGCTGGTTTGAACTTTCATGTCCAAGTTTTTGAATGAAAATCTGCTTTTATTTCTCTTAAATCTTGACACTAAGAAACAGCCGGTGGTCCCGCGGGGCAGGCGGGGTCGCCGGGGCTCGAGGGCTTGGGGTAGATGCGCTCTCCGGTTCTCACAGCCACCCGGCTTTTACGTCCGCTGAGGAAGGGAGCCGGGCTTTTACGTCCGCTGAGGAAGGGAGCCGGGCGCCCCGCGTGGGCAGGGGGTCGCGGCGCTCGCCCCGCAGCCGCCCACGCAGCGCTGGGTGGGGACGCGTCCGGAGCCTGGCGCCCGCCCCCGCCCAGGGGTCGCCACGGCCTGCTGAACGCAGCCCCTGGACGCAGCCAGGCATCCTCCCTGCCGAGCCGGTGCCCCCTCCCCGCCGCCCAGTGTCCCCGCTGTGCCTGCGGGAAGCCATTCGCCCAGCACACAGAGAAGGGCGCGATGGCAGCCGAGCTGCTCTGCTCCACACTGGCCGGGTTGGCGCAGCCGGACCGCGGCCCGAGGAGCTGGGGCGCCCGGGACGTGGCCGGGCGCGCGCCGTCGGCCTGCGCGAGGGTCTCCAGACTCGGCTGCTCCCGGCTACCTGCTGGGCTGCCGGCGGCTGTTGCACAAGCCCGTGGCGCTGCGGTGCGGGCTCACGGTCTGCGAGCGCTGCGTGGAGCCGGCCGCGGCGCGTCCCCGTGGTGCTGAGCGGCCAGGTGCCGGCTGCGCAGGCTGACGGGCCAGGCGCGGAATCTGCAGCGCCGGCCGCAGCCCGAGGCCGCGCTGCGCAGGTGCGCCCCGGCCCTGGACCTGGGTAAGTGGGCCGCCAGGGCGCACACCTGTCGGCCCGAGCGAGCAGCGGCGTTGGGAGTGGAGGGGTGGCCCAGGATTCTATGGGAGCGGTGTTCAGGCCTAGGGGTCATTTTGCTTTCCGGTGAGTGGTCAGGTGCAGGTGAAAGGTGCTAACAGGGGCGGATTGCAGCCGGGCTGGCCGGTGTCAAGAGGCCAGGCGCACCACTCTGCATGTGTCTCTTCCAGGCCCCTGTGTTGTTTTGCGCTTCCTCCCCCAGCAGCTCCGCCTGGACCTGTAGTTACTTTTCTACCCCCTTCTCAGCTGTTGAGTGGGAGGCTGTCACGGCGTTTTTGCTCATCGGGCAGGAAAACGCAGGAAACTGAGGTCCTGCAGGTGCAGGGCGCAGTGCCTTGTGCTGGGCGCGCGCTTTGCTTCCGGGGTTCAGTCCGGGCGTTTCGGAGAGAGCGCCTTTTCGTACTACGGCCTGCCGGGCTGCCTCCTCTTTTCTGTCCCAAAGGCCGTTTTGTTTCTGTGGCCTATCTAGCTTCCTATGCTGACCACTGGGGGTGGTTATTATTCATTTGTTTGTCTCTCCTCCAACCAGCCACTCCCTGGTAATCATATGCTGTTGTGTTTGAGTGTCAGTTGGGCATTCTCTGTTGGCCATGGTTTGGGACCAGTGTATAGAGGATGGTCTGCTTCCTTCATTCCCACGGGGTTTGCAGGAGAGAGATTTAAATCACTAGCCATGAAGACTTGGTTTGATGTCTGTTACTCAAAGAATCTTCCTGTGTGGTGTAGTCAGTTTGCATTTTATTTTAATATTAAGGTTACCGTTTTCTTTTTTAGAAGGGACACTCTTGAAGCGACTTGAAGTTGGGTTGTCTTGCAGAACTCATTATGAAACAGTAATTACACAAGTGATCCATAACTGTATCTAAATGAGGGGGGTCTCTGCTGGAGGAGAGCTGTTGACTGTAAAAATATTCTGCATGCTTTTTGCAGCCAATATCCATACTTCAACAGGTTGTGTACTTTTGAGTTTTAAGCCATCTTAAAATTATGTATATACAGTGTGGGGCAGTATTGTTCAATGGCATTGTAGGGTAAGCCACCAATATCATTTTAAATTTTGTTACATTTAAAAGGGTGAAAAGCAAGTGAAGTTTATTTTAACAATATTTTAACCCTGCACATCCAAATTATGCTTTCAACATTGTTCAGTATTAAAAAACTGGAGATTTTTTTTACTGTTTTAACTCACTCATTCAAATCCATTGTGTGTTTTGCATCTACTGCACTCCTCAATTTGGACACAAAATTTTCATCTGAAATATTTCATCTATATTTAGATTTTACAGAAGATGTAGAAAAATGAGAGGGAGCATATGCTACTGCTGATAGATTCCTGAAATATTATTTGGGTCCTTTTCTACCAATGATAGAGGCCTTTTTGCCATCTCAAAGAGGTGCATGCATATACACACCTACAGAAGGTAGGAGAATGTCAAGAGTGTACAGCATCATGAGAGATCTCCCCAGAGAGGAGTAACCTAGCGTCTGTTAAGAGCACAGTGAATGCATAGATTATGAGGTCTTCATGGAATACCATATGGAAAGAAAATACCCCAGGTACAGCCACAAAGTACAGTAGGGGTGAATCTCATAAACATAATCTTCAGTGACCCAAAAGAATTTTTAGATTTGATTCTATTTATCTCTTAAGTTCAAAGAAGCAAAATTTTTGAAGTGAAAATAAGCGTCCAGTTGATGGTAAAATATGGGTGGAAGAATAGGGAAGTCATTGATGCTTGACAAAAAGTTTATGGGGACAGTACCCCCAAAGGAATCGGATTACAAACGTAGAACTTGTTTTAGGAAAGGAGGTGATGATGATGATGACGAAGCCCACAGCGGCAGAACATCACATAGGTTTGCGAGGAAAAATTCATCTTGTTTTGTGTCTTGATTGAAGAGGACCGATGATTAAAAGCAAAACCCTAGCCAACACCACAGGTATCGCAATTGACTCAGCTTTCACTATTAAGATTGAAGTCGAGCAAACTTCCTGTTTGCTGGATGCCAAAACTGTTAGACCCGCATCAGCTTCAGACGAGAGCAGAGCTTTCAATGGAAATGTTAAACAAGTGAGTCCAAGATCCTGGAGTGTTCCTTTGAAGAATTTGAACAAGAGATGAAACATGGCTCTACCAGTATGATTCCAAAGACAAAGCGTGATCAACACAGCAGCTACCGAGAAGTGGAAGTGGCCCAGTCAAAGAGGCAGACTGGTCAAGAGGCAAGAGTCTGGCAAAAATTTTGGGGGATGCTCAAGGCATGCTACTTGTTGCCTTTCTGGAGGGCCAGAGAACAGTAACATCTAGAATGTCTTGGGAAATTTAGCCAAAACTTCGGCAGAAAAATGCCTGGGAAATCATCCGAGAGTCTGTCTCTACTGTGACGATGCCCCTGCCCATTCTTCTCATCAACCAAGCACCAACTTTTCAAGAGCTTCCTGGAGAAATCATTAGGTGTCCACCTTACGGTCCTGATGGCTCCATCTGACTTCTTTTTGTTTCCTAGTCCTAAAACAATCTTCAAAGGGCAGCCATTTTCTTCTTTTAATAATGTAAAAAAGACTGCATTGCCATTGTTAAACCTCCAGGAGAGGTTTGGCACTATGACACAGTAGGTTAAGCCTCTGCCTGCAGTGCCAGCATCCCACAGGGGCACTGGTTCGTATCCTGGCTGCTCCTCTTCCGATCCAGCTCTCTGCTGATGGCCTGGGAAAGCAGCAAAAGATGGCCCAAGTGCTTGGGCCCCTGCACGCATGTGGAGGACAGGGAGGAAGCTCCTGGCTCTGGCTTCGAATCAGGCAGTTGCAACATTTTGGGAAGTGAACCAGTGGATGGAAGACCTTCCTCTCTGTCTGTAACTCTGCCTCTTACATGAAAAAATAACTCTTTGAAAAAAGGTGAAACCTCTAGGACCCTTGACTGCTTAGGGGTGGATTAAATGACTGACATCACTTACAGAAATGTATTGAACCTAACCGAGCTTATGCTGAGAAATATAGTTGCTATTTTTTATTTTTATATTATAATTCCATTCTTCCACAAGCCTTTTGAAGTCCCCCAAATGTGTCAGTACATACAACTATTGCAGAACACACCATCTACTCGGGTTCATAGAACCACAGGCAGCGTACTGGTTGGATTGGGCCTGTGGTTGTGTTTGGTGACTCTGGGTTAGGCCATAAAACCAGTTGCCATAAATATTAAAAGACTAAAATCAGACAATATAAGTTATTTAAACACTGTGTGAACTTAAACTAAGTAGCAGATGGGTAGCATATGTTTAGATATTTGGAAATTAAGCAGCGCATTTTATTTTATTTAACTTGTCTTCATCTGTTTTCTGCTGCTGTAACAGAATATCATAGCCAGGACACTTATGCCTGTATCCCATATCAGAATGTCTGGGTTTGAGGGCCACCTGTGGCTCCTGATTCCAGCTTGTTGGAGGCAGCAGGTGAAGGCTTGAGTGACAGGGTCCCCGCCACTCCTGTGGAAGACCTGGGCTGAATTCCTGTATCTGAGTCCAGCCCAGCTGCAGTCATTGGGGGCATTTGGGCAATGAACCAGCAGATGAGAGTTCTGTCTCTCTGTGTGTCTCTCACTGTCTGCATGTCTTCCTCAAAACAAACAAAAGATTCCACAGTCACTTATTTATTGTTGAGATTATATTGTAAGTAGTATATGTGCAAGAATACTCAATACAAAATAGTAGTCTATTTTTCTTGGTGCACTTTGATGACTTGTACATTTTTCTGTTTCCTGAGCAAAGCTTATAAAATATGCTTATCAAACTAAACTCTACTGTGATTGGGTAGGAAAGTTATTTCTTTATGTTTAGGCTTATTTTCTTAATTTATTATTTTTAATGGCTTGAGGATGACTTGTTTTGGAATGCCATCATTATGTGTTTCTGTTTCTCTTGTCTTTCAGCTCCTGATGATTGTTCATTACTGCTACTGTAAGCAGAATTACGCGTAACCATGAAGAGCTATGAGAACACTCTCCAGGATGCCACACAGTTTGTCACAATGAACCTCTCCTGACTGAGGTATTTGTATTTATTAGCTTTGAATGTAAGTTTATGGGATTTTCTTAAGAATAAAGACAATTATGACTAGCTACCTACAGAGAGTGTATCTTTCCCCTAAATTACAGTAGTCTAAGTTTAGCAATACACTTCATACCAAACCACACCAATTTAGAGACCAAGTCTCCAAGTAGATTTAGATAAGAAACACTAACTTAGGTTACTCTTTTTCTTTTTTTAAGATTTATTTATTTATTTGAAAGGCAGAGCTACAGAAAGGCAGAGGCAGAGAGAGAGGTCTTCTATCTGCTGGTTCACTCCCCAGATGGCCACAATGGCTGGAGCTGGGCTGATATGGAGCCAGGAGCCTCCGCAGGGTCTCCCAGGCAGATACAGGGGCCCAAGGACCTGGGCCATCTTCTACGGCTTTCCCATACTGGCACGAACACTTCATGTCTTGCACATAATGCTGCCTTGTGCCTTAGTCACAGGTGTTGAATAGAGGAAGAGAAACACCGTAGTTTCTATTACATTGGAATTGTTGTTCCTGTCCTCGTGTCCTGCTGTCCAGTCATCAGAGCTGTCTCTGGTGCTCCCTAGAGTGCTCTGCTCTCTGAAGGTGTTTTTTTTTTAACATTTATTTATTTGAAAGAATTATAGAGAGGGAGAGACAGAGAGAAAGAGAAAGATCCATCTGCCAGGTTCACTCCCCAGATGGCCATAACAGCCAGGGCTGGGCCAGGCCAAAGCCAGAGGCTTCATCTGAGTTTCCCACATGGGTAGCAGGAGTCCAAACACTTTAGCCATCTGCTGCGCTTTTCCCAGGCCTTTAGCAGGGAGCTGGATCAGGAGTGGAGCAGCCAGGACTAGAACCGGTGTCCACATAGGATGCCACCAGTGCAGGTAGCAGCATTATCTACTGCACCAGAGTGCTAGCCCATGAAGATGGTTCTTTATTTTTTAAATTTTTAAATTTATTTTTTATAATAAATTTCTTAAATTTATTTTTCCCCCAAAGAAACCTTTTCTTTAAGACTTCATGAGGGGCTGGCACTGTAGCCTAGTTGGTGGAGCTGTTGCCTGCAGTGCCAGCATCCCATATGGGCGCCAGTTTGAGTCCCAGCTGCTCCACGTCTGATCCAGCTCTCTGCTATGGCCTGGGAAAGCAGTAGAAGATGGCCCAAGTCTTTGGGCCCCTGCACCTACATGGGAGACCCAAAAGAAGCTCCTGGCTCCTGGCTTCTGATCAGCTCAGCTCCAGAAGTTGTGGCCAATTGGGGAGTGAACCAGTGAATGGAAAAACACACTCTCTCTCTCTCTCTCTCCTCCCCCTCTGCCTCTCTGTAACACTGCCTTTCAAATAATAAATAAATCTTAAAAAAAAAAGAATTAAAAAGGAGACAGCAGAGAGCTGGTTCAGAAGTGGAGCAGCTGGGACTCAAACTGGCACCCATATGGGATGCTAGTGCCACAGGTAGCAGCCTTACCCACTATGCTAAAGTGCCAGCACCCACTTCTTTTTATTCTATCTATTATTACCAGACCCTTAATCCTATCCATATGATCACCTTAACAGTTAAAATGGTATTTTTACCACCCAGCTTAAGGGGATTTGGGGTCCCATGGCAAGTTTTTAAACTGAACTCTTAGAAGTAAGTCCATAGGAATGTATGCAGAACTATAAAACTTTACAATTGAAAACTTCATATACTTCATAATTACAGCTTTAGGAACATGGTGATTCTTCCCACCATGCCCACTCTCCCATGCATACTCCCTATCCCTCTTCCTCCTCCCTCTCTTTTTCCCACTCTTATTTTTTACTGAGATCTATTTTCAATTGACTTTATACACATATGCTTAACCCTGTGTTAAGTAAAGAGTTTGACAAATAGTATTTAAGAAAGCTGTTCCTCAACAGTCACAACAAGGGCTGTTTAAGTCATTGCTTCTCAGAGTGTTAATTTCACTTCTCCAGATTTCCTTTCAGGTGCACTATCATCACAGATCAGGGATAACATGTGGCATTTGTGGTATTTGTCCCTTTGGGACTGGCTTATTTCACTAAGCATGATGTTTTCCAGATTCATCCGTTTTGTTTCAAATGACTGGATTTCATTTTTTTTTTTTTACTGCTGTGTAATATTCTATGGTGTACATATCCCATAATCTCTTTATCCAGTCTTCAGTTGATGGGCATTTGGGTTGATTCCATGTCTTAGCTATTGTGAATTCAGCTGCAATAAACATGGGGCTGCAGATAATTCTTTCATGTGCTGATTTCATCACTCTTGGGTAAATTCCCAGGAGCGGGATGGCTGGGTCATATGGTAGGTCTATATTCAGATTTCTGAGGTATCTCCAAACTGACTTCCATAGTGAATTTACCAGTTTACATTCCCACCAATGGTGGATTAGGGTACCTTTTTCCCCACATCCTTGCCAGCATTTGTTGTTTGTTGGTTTCTGTATGGAAGCCATGTTAACTGGAGTGAGGTGAAACCTCATTGTGGGTTTTGAGTTGCATTTCCCTGATGGCTAGTGATCCTGAGCATTTTTTCATGTGTCAACAGGCCATTTGGATTTGAAGGTGGTTCTTTAAGTAATGAATGGGATGTAGGTTTGTGGAGCATTTCTAAGTACATGTGACCACTCTGCCTGCAATTGGGTGAGAGAGCCATGTATGCATTGGTTTCTATTATTGGGTTTTGTTTTTTAATCCATTCAGCCAGTCTGTGTCTTTTAACTGGCAAATTGAGGCCATTTACATTCAAGGTGACTATTGATAAGAAACATCTTGGCCTTGCCATTTTTCCATAAACATTCCTATTGTATACATTGAATTTCCTTTGTACTTTAATGGGAGATTTTCTGCCTTCAGCCTCTTTCATAGGGATGACTGTGTTTCTGTGTTTCTGTGTGTAGCACATCCTTAAGCGTCTTTTGCAGGGCTGGATGAGTGGTGACAAATTCTTTCAATTTCTCTTTGTTATGGAAGGTCTTTATTTCACCTTCATTCATAAATGAGAGCTTTGCAGGGTACAGTATTCTGGGTTGACAGTTGTTTTCTCTTAAGATTGGAATATATCTTGCCATTGTCTTCCAGCCTGTAGGGTTTCTGGTGAGAAGTCAGCTGTGAGAAATTGAAGAATCAGAGGGGAGGTTTGTTCAACTCCATTGGTATAGTCTCGTGCTCACCTCCTCTCCAAGGAGACCAATGCCTGAGCAGTAGCCCTAGTGGGTACGATATTCATCTATGCTGCCTCAAGAACTACACAGAGGATCCATGGAGTCCTCGGTGTGAGCATAGATCCTGCAGCAATGACCCTCACCAGGGAATTGGAGCCCTGAGCGTGTGGAGTCGCCCACAGTGACTGCCCAAAGACCCAGCCACACCCTGCACCCTCCCATGCAGCCACAGCATTTTCACAGTCCCAATACACAAGGTTCCCACAGACACGAGCACCCAGCCCCCTGTCAGTTCTCCCAGCCAGTCTGAGGCGTCTCCTCTTGGCTGGTTGCTGGGTGCATGGGCACAAGCTGGTGCAGCTGCTACATATGTCCAAAATGGCACCTGCCCACTCTGCTAGTTGTAGGACATGGGTGCAGGGTGGTCGGGAAGAGAGAAGTGTGTCCCCCCTTTTTTCCTCTAGGTTGGCAGGTACTCTGTCCCCCCTCCCCCTGCTCCAGAGCTCCAAACCAGAATCACACTGGGCTCTTCCTGCAGCGTTATCACCAGTGGCTGGGGCTGCTACAGTCTGGTCTCACCTCCTCTCCCACGCTGGTGCTGAGACTCTCGTCTGCTGGGGTCCTACACTGTGCACGGCCACAGCCTCCATGTAGATCCACAGTGTCCCTCTGATTTGCACGGAGTTTCCTCTGCTGTTTTCTCCCTAACTCTTCCCTGAGACTGCGCTCTTTGCACTTTTTTTAACCATCTTCCCCTAGACTAGAGCAGCAGTTCCCTCCCTATTCCGCCATCTTGGTGCTGCTCATAATTGTTGAATTTGGAGAAGTATGTTTCATGATGAAAAATGTTGATGATTTATCGGCCCACAAAGTATCAGGAAGACTTATGATCCTTTTATTAATTTTATATTGTATTCTCCAGTAGCTAAAACTCGGTTTCATCGTAGAAGTTTTTTTTTTTCTTTTTTTTTTGACAGGCAGAGTGGACAGTGAGAGAGAGAGACAGAGAGAAAGGTCTTCCTTTTGCCGTTGGTTCACCCTCCAATGGCCGTCGCGGCCGGCGCACGGCGCTGATCCGATGGCAGGAGCCAGGAACCAGGTGCTTTTCCTGGTCTCCCATGGGGTGCAGGGCCCAAGCACCTGGGCCATCCTCCACTGCACTCCCTGGCCACAGCAGAGGGCTGGCCTGGAAGAGGGGCAACCGGGACAGAATCCGGCGCCCCGACTAGGACTAGAACCCGGTGTGCCGGCGCCGCTAGGCAGAGGATTAGCCTAGTGAGCCGCGGCGCCGGCCATCGTAGAAGTTTGAAAGCACTATAATTGCATAACTTAATAACAAAGAAGAAATTTTCGGATTATTCATTTATTTGAGAGAGAGAAAATGCTCCCCTCTGCTGGTTCACTTTGACCAGGAGGCCGGAGCTAGGGCCCAGGAATGCAGTCCAGGTTCGCGCTGTGGATGGCTGGAACCCAAATGCTTGAGCTGTGATGGCTGCCTTCCAGGGTGCACAGTGACAAGAAAGTGCAGTCAGAAGCTGGAGCTACTGGGCTTCGACCTGGTTCTGCCCTGGCCATGGTGGCCACTTGGGGACTAAAGCAGCAGACAGAAGATCTTTCTGTCTCTCCTTCTATCTGTAACTCTAACTTTCAAATAAGTAAGTAAGTAAGTAAATACATACATCTATCTTTTAAAAAAAAAAAAAAAAACAAGCTGGAGCCAGGGTTTGAACACAGGCCCTCCAAGACAGGATGTGGGCACCCCAACCAGAGTCTGAAGCACTGGGCCAGACAGACATCTACCCCTGAAGAGGGGCGTGTTTCACATGCCTCCT